ATTTCAGAAGCGACCTTGCTTTTATAAATGATAGCTCAATGAGGCGGCTTATCACATGGAAATGTATTGCAGACACATGCTCTAAACGCGTGATTGTTGATTCTAAATGTGGAGGGAAAAACCGGAGGACCCGGTGAAAATCCACGCGACTACTGGGAGAGAGACACGCAGACTCCAAATATACAGCAGTCGACAGGGTCCCCCCAATGATAGCTACCATTGGGGGGCCGTGAACTAGACTGCAGAAGGGCATTGGAAAGGTTGAGATGAGATGTGATTGATGTAAGGCGCGTTGAGTTGCTGAACCACTGACGCGCCATACCAATGCAAGTCCTAACCCTGTTGAGCGTTGTGCGATTGCCGGGGAAGATAGAGAATTTGTGTGTTCCTAACCTCCAGCTTGTTTTCACTCCTCTTCGTCATGAACTCCGATTAGCGCGATTGGCTACGTCGGGTGCGAAATAAGTTCAACATACGTACACGCAACTCTCTATGATGAACTTTAAATGTCCCATTTCCTAAAAGCAAGTGGTGAATTTTGTAGAATGCAAAATGTTGACTGGCCATTGATGGTGTTGTATTACAACAGTAGGCCTTTAAGTTAGGCTTTCAAGATATATACACTGTACATAACAACCAGTGGTAGTAGTAATTCCCCTTGAGAAAACTGAAGAAAATTTGCATTCGCTCAATTTACATAATGGTTACACATTAAGTATTTGCTTTGATCCGATTAGCATGTTTGGCTACGTACAGTGCGAAAGTTCAACATACATACTAATGATCACTAATGATGCGTGTTAATTCTTTACATTAAGAGTCAGATGGGTTTATTTCAATTTCCACGGTGGCTTTTAGAAATAATGCTCCCAATTCAGTTCAACTCTTTTACAAATCACATAGAAGGATTAATTTATAATAATAAAAACTTAACCATTTTGACTTCTACAATGCAACTCACTACCTTCCATTGCCAATATGGAGACAAATGCACTGGTGAATGTATAAACTATTTGCACCAAACTTATCTGGTTAATTCCACATATACATCTATAAAAAAAACCTTCGTTGTGACTTTTGGCTAATCACTGCATTGCACACTTTTCGATACGCTTCAGCAGCTGGAGCTATGCACTTTAGAATCTAGATTGAAAACTCATTTCTTTAGAACTGATTTTGTGTTAAGTTTGTCATCCTTCCCCCACGCCTCCGCTTATATAGCGCGGTTAGCAATGTACGGTACACGTACAAACAAACCGTTAATTCCACATTGAAATCCATGCAATTTAAGTCGCACTTCAAAATCCTTGTGCCAACAACAACTGTCAAGCAAAGGGGCGTGCCCCACTTCTACCCAGAGTGCACGGGCTCCTCCTGCCAGCAGGGGCCAATAAATAAGCACAACACTGGCAGCCGCCTACACTTAAAGCTGGAGGCAGCACGGACATAAATCCAGCGGGAACGAGACCAACCCCCCCCTCTCAATCAGCCGGTGCTGGCCCAGTGCGAGAGCCTGGTCCCGTGCTTATCCCAAAGCCATTCCAACCGTGGTCGATCGCCTCGGTCGATGGCAGGCGGGCGGGCGCGCGCGGTAAGAGGGATTGCGCGGCAGAGCGGAGCATCAATCCCACGATGCCAATTTCAGATTTCAGGGAGCTGTTTGGGAGGAGCCAGTGAACCTGCGGATTCCGTGGCATGGTGGACGCCTCCGCGCCCCCCCGCCACCACAATCTGATTGACAGCCAGACGAGACGGGCGTGCAGGCGCCGCGACTTCGTCCATTTACTAACACAATTTGTGCTGGGCGCGTTGCCGACGCACGGATAGCACCGCGGTCGGCCACACGTTTATTTTTGCAGTACAGCACAAAATAGCAACATACGAATACTAATATAATATTGATATTTTATTATATTATATTATTATATTATGTTTTATTTTTTTTACTTTATTATTTCCCTTCTACGTGACTTTACCGAAAGAACCAATTAGATGAATATTGATCCTATTATTTTCTGTGTTATAGGGCACCACAGTGGTGAGATCTGAACTTCCTCGCCTGCTATTCAGGAGGTTGTGGGTTCAATCCCGACCCTGACGCCTGCATATTTGGAGTTTGCATGTTCTCCCCGGGGTCGCGTGGATTTTTCTCCAGGTCCTCCGGCTATTCCCTCCACATTTAGAATCGACAAGCGTTTAAAGCATTTGGCCGCTGCTATAAATGTCCACGTGATAAGCCACTTCGTTCAGCTGTCATTTGTGATAACCAGGTCAATGGGCCTTAGCTGGTAAAATAAATAAAAATTTGTTCAGTTTTAGTTAATAGTGGCTGAATAGTCGAAAGAATGTGAAGATATTATTTGAAAAGTGTAGAGCATATGCACCCCCCTGTTAGGGTGTACAATTTTCGGATACTGTGCGGGATTGAACACCAAACGAGAAATAAAAGGGCTTATTGGCGTCAATTACACGCACCACGTAATAAAACCATCCGTCATTATTTGACATTAAGGTATTTACTTGCGCCAATTTGCTCCCTGCTCCCTGCGTTGTGCAGCCCTGGCTTGCGGACACACTGACACACCATGAGCATGTTGTTTCATGTGAAAGGTGCGCATGGCACGAGCGCGCTTCATTAACACAGCAGTTACCCATCCCAATGTAAACTAATATTGACCAACTTTAATTCGATGACAACATTCCGATACCGAAAACAGATAATTAACCTTGCTCTTTCCCCCTTGAGATGTTGAACATAGATCCACGCATCACACCAGCACTCCGGTCAATACCAACACAAGCGTGAACATTCACTCTGCTTTTGAAATGCTCTCTTTTCAGTCAAGAAATGTTTCCAAGTTTCACCAATGCTGTTAAATTAGAGGGCATTTCATCAACACTTTCAAATCATATTTTAATGCATTATTATTATTTCATGTATGTATTGTGAGTTTCAGACACATTGTGAAGCCGTCAACATGAGAGACAAAGGGGTGGTACGCGGGTTACAAATTAATCAACACGTTCGCTTTTTGTTGTTACGATTTTGGTGATCATGGTGTCGGAAAACGTGACGTGAAAACCTCATCCGAGCAATATTCCTCACAGTATTGTGCAGTCGATGTGCTCCGGTACTTCTCCTCCACATTTAGAATCAAGGTCACATGTTGAGAGCATTTGGCTGCCGCTATAAATTTCCCACAAGATGATAAGCCACTCCCCGTTGAGCTATCGTTTGCGATGGCCGGGTCACGTCTCAAAAAGAGCTACGTAGCACAGCGGGCCTTGAAGCTGGTAGAAAATAAATAGTTCATAGTTTAGTGTAGTTTGGATTTACATTATTACCTCGTGATTACGAACCATGCTTATAACGGTCCCACCCCCCCCCCCCCCCATTCATTTTTGCAACTTTAACGAGGATACGTGTACAAATGCGCATTTACACAGAAGTGTGGCGATGCATTGTTGCTCACCAGTGGCTTTTTTTGCAAAGGCCCAGTTAAAATTTATCAATAACTTCATTATAGGGAACACCCTGATAGAGTAAACTTTGCGTTTTATTGATGACACCAATGTGTGCACATTCGCAGGGTTCAATGCTAATAGTCTTGTGGAAAAGATCCAGATTGAGACCTTAAATATAAATGCAATGTTATCTGCAACCCAGGTTAGGAAGCCATTTGAGGTATGCACTTTTAAATTTAGATTGAAAACTCATTTTTTAGAACAGCTTCTTATGTTTAGTTTGTTGTCCTTCCCCCGCACCTCCGATTAGCACGGTTGGCTACGTACCGTGCGAAAGACGTTCAACGTATATCCATCTCGATGCACTACAGTAACCAAAATTTACAGAAAGCGAACACGCAAGGAAGGATATGTGTGTTTTTTAAGCCATCAGTTTCCTAGTGTCTTTTACTTTGCCAAGTGGACCTTCCCAGGGCCTCTTCGTTTCCACTTTCACTTTTAGCAGCCCTCTTTAAATCTGAAGGTATGCTCTCTCAAAGCGGGCCACTTAATGCCAACGTCTTATTTCCACCTCTTACAACAGGCTCTTTCAGGTGCCAATTAGCACGCATATGGCAAACGTGGCAAATACGAACCTGGACTGGGTCATTCTTAAGTCGACAGCCTAACATACAGCTGGTGCATGGTGCCGTTCATGCTCCTCATGATGAGCAAGGAAGGGTAGGCAACAGCAGCCAACGGCGAGCGCTGCTGGCCCCACGATTTGTGCCAGGCCTATATAACAGGTGCTCAGCAAGCGACATTTGTCTCACCCCGTATCTACATGGCGCAACCCAGGTTATGTTTGAGTGGGTGCCGGCAGAAGGCAGGCAAATTATTATTATGATTAAATACATATTTTAGAACGGTTTCTCATCTTATGATTTATTTTATTCACGACATATTTCTTATGTTATACATAATACACTGACTGCGCGAGGTTGTGCTTTATTTTGCGCGCAGTTGCACTTTACTGTGCTCAGTCAGTATTAGCCACCGAGGTCGTGACGGGGGTTGTTTTTTTTTCTATTCCCGTTGTTCTATACTTCCGGACCGTTCCTGTTCTGTTGTCATGTGCATTGATGCCCACTTGATCGAGGGCGCTACGAGCACGTAAAATAAAGACTGACCGAGTGGTTTGTGCACAATGAGCGTGCGCGCTTGTGTGCAGAAGTGGAGAGCGGTAAGCGTAGCGGTTAGCGCGCTGCACTACGAACCCGGCGACCCGAGTTCGATTCCCGCTCCCGGCCACCAACACCGGTGACGATTATCTGAACTGGTATTGGGGCCTCCCCTAGGTTGACTCAGCCTCAAACGAGTACCTGGTGCGACAAAGGCGGCCGGGCATGGTGTTGGCCACTCACCCCCTCATGAAGGTCGACACAGCACACAGGCGCTCGCAAATAGCACTTGCCCAAACAGTCTGTGAAGGCTACATGGGAGATGATCTTTGTCTTTGTGTGTGCAGGTATGAATCCGCGTGCGCATCCACGCACCATTTGTGGAGAGCAGGAACTGGGCCGCATTCTGCTGCGGCAGCCACCGGATCTTGTTGATCTTCTCCTCGATCTCCAAGCTCTTCAAGTAGTCGAACTCGGGCTCGTGGCTCTGGAAGGTGCTGTAGACGTTGTACTCTCCGCGGTGCTGCGGCTGGTTTTTGCTCTGCGGGGAACCGGCGGTCGTTACATTTTAATATTCGCTTCTCGCCTTTGCGTTCAAGCGAGGAATTGTTTGCAGCCTTTCATCCCCGGGTGTCACCGTTTTAGTGAATGTAATATTCTCCATTTTTTTTTTACTTGTCAGGGAAATGTTTCTACTTTCTCATTTTAATTAATGTTTTCTTATTTAGCGACACGACATTTTGTCATGAACTTTGAAAAATGTCAAGAATCGTTTTGGGAGCGGCAGAGATGAGCAGGCTGAAAGCACTTTCCCGCTGTTGCCATTAACAGTCTTGTCGCAGGGAAAAAGATGCAATTCATCAAACCGGTGAATACTCAAATACTTTAATAAGCAAATGGTGTGGGCGAGGTGGACAATCATGGGGAGCGCAGAAGAGTTTACTTCTATCTGGAGCCAACATCTGCCATATCAATGTTCTGCTTTCATTGGTTTATTTCGTATTTCCTGCTAGGAGCAGTGAAAATGTGTATTCAGATTATTTTTTTTCCCCTTTGCTTTCAAGAGGTGGGTAAGCTGACATCAAATATATTAATTGGAGGCCAGAGCATTACAAAGAACAGTTTAAACACAAAACATGAGTACAGTATTTAAGCAACCAATGCTCCTACTCACCATTCAATAAAAGCTTTATATCTTAATTTTTAGGAAAACGTAACCACTATAATTTTTTACATTAAAGAAGTCAGGATTAAGTTTTTTTTTATTAGGCATTCTGCCTAAAATATTTAAAACTATTCTTTGGGTCTTTCGGGGAGAAAAATTCTACGCGACCACGGGGAGAACATGTAAACTCCAAATATACAAGTGTCAGAGTCGAGATGGAACCTACGACCTCCTGCATACCAGGAGAGGGAGGTAACATCTCGCCACCACGGCACCCCTGGAAAAAATATGTCGCTAAATAAAAAAAAAATTGTCCAGGCCAGAGCTTGGCAGGACCAGATCCTCCACTGCTCCGTTCACCAGCCCAGCCTAGTCTCCCCCAGTGCCATGAACATTTTCCAGATCAGTGATCGAGCAATTGGGGAGGTTATAAAAGGAATCAGATGTGAAGGTGCTGGGCCAGCCCAGCCCACGGAAAGCCAAAATCGTACCTCCAATTAGCCCGGTTTGCGACATACGGTGCGAAAGAAGTTCAACACACATACAAAGGGAATTATTAACAATGCTGGGCAGGCCCAGGGCTGAAAGATTTGTGTCGTATAATTGTAATTACAATGGTAGTGGGTAGGCTTTAGGCTTGGTGATAGCAAAGAACACCAACGGCTTAGCAGGTAGAAAATGATCTTTTTGCCTAATCCACCCAATCTGGCAGAGGCCACCTAAAGATCTGATAGCGTGCAACGGGTGAATGCAATTCACACCAAAATTGCACTTTTGTGACCCAATGTGACCCCTGTCAGGCTCATTCAGAGGACGGAGGAAAGGATTGAGTGGAGTGTGACAGACGTGGAAGGACTGTAAAAGACCGAGCATATTGCCAGGATTGAGTCTACATGAGCGAATCGGCACGAACTTTAGCCGGGCACAATCGCGGCCCATTAAACAACGATACCATCAGTTGGCTAACGCTAGAGCCAAATTTTGGTTCACCTTACCGTTGGCACACTCCAAATCTCACACATCAATCAGCTCCGGAGCCAGTGGCCATGACGGTGGGCAACAAAAGCACAGCAAACGGGGTCACATCTCTGGCTTCCCCTCCAACTGACTTCTCAATTACTTGATTGAACCAGTCATTAAACTAATGACTTGCAACGTTAAATGTTTCATTATTCTCAGACGTTAAGCAGGTGGTGATGTCAAGTTAACTATAAAACCTGCAGAATTATTGCCCTTGACGACAGGAGTTTAGGACGTCAAGATGGCAAGCTGCCTGGGGCTACTCGCGAGAACGAGGAGAGTGCGCCGGGAGGAGGAGAAGCCCACTTCTTGTTGCACCCTAGGATGAGTGCATTCACCCTCGCTGGTACAAGCGCGTTGGATCCTGGAGCAAAAGTAGGGCTGCCATGCATTTTCTATTAACTTGGAACAACGGAGGTGCCTGTTGAACCTGTCGACTATTAGCTGCAACACTGCCTGCACGCTCCATTCTCCTGGGAAACCAGATGTGCGTTGCTCCGCTAGTACGTTGATAAAGATCTGCCCAACGTACGTACAAGGGCCTGCTTCCTTTCCCTGGCCTCTTCTCCAACTGCCTCTTGACGGCGCCCGATCTCAATTCCCGGTGGTGTCTCGGTTTGCTCCGGCGCAACGTTGGGACTTCGTCATGGCGCCAGAGGTCCCCGGGCCCTCGTAAGCTCTCGAGGAGACCCGGGGATAGCGCGCGGCATCGAGGCCCAGGCCAACAACGGGCCCCCTCGGTCGTCGGGTGTCCACCACCCACCACCAGCCGAGAGCCTCACGGTCGCTTGGGAATTGATGCACGACAGTTTAAACTTCATGGCGTTTCGTTAAAAGGTGGATCAGGATGGACGCAGGTCTCGGTTCCTTCACAGATGGCCTCTCATGGTGAGGTAGCAGCACTATGAAGGAAGTCAACTGCTGCCATCGTATGGGAGGGGTTCAGCATCACGGTGGCGAGATGTTAACCACCTTGCCTAGCATGCAGGTCGTGGGTTCGATCCCGACCCTAAAGCTCTCCCCGTGGTCGCGTGGATTTATTTTCCTCCGGGTTCTCTGGTTTTTCCCTCCACATTGAGAAACATGCGTCTAGATTATTTAGATTATTTGGCTGCTATAAATTTCCGCAAAAGCCACTGCGTTGTATGTACGTATGTATGTTGAACTTCTTTTGCAACGTGCGTAGCCAACCATGCCAATCGGAGGCGCCGGGGAAAGGACAAGCAACTAAAAATACAAAAAAATGGAAGCTGAGCTATCAATTGTGGCCACGACGCTTCTGGGCCTTAGCTGGTAAAATAAAACCAGCTTATAGTTTTTATTTTATAGCTCTGCCAAAGGGTGCTACATATCATCCACTGCCATGACAGCCGCAATGGGAAAACGTAAGTCGGACGAAAGCGTAAACAAGCGTTGGCCCGCTGTGTTTGTTAATTTCGCGCGTGCGCGAGCGGCCTCTCACCTCCTGTTCTCGCTGGAAGATCACGACGCGGCCACCCTTGTCTCCCGTCGCAAGGAGATCTCCCGTGTGGTTGAACTCTACTGTGGAGATTATGTCCGCTGTGGGCCACACAACACGGGAAGCAGAAAAACAAACACAGCACCGTCACACCTGTGCACAGTCACATGAACACCCCTCGCCCCTCCTCCCCCCACAAAGACAAAGATCCCCCCTATAGCCTTAACAGACTGTCAAGGCAAGTGCTGTTAGCGAGCACCTATGAAGGCTGGAACAAGCACACGAGGGGGTGGGTGGCCAGCACCACGCCCTGCCGCCTTTTTCTCCCTGGTGTTGATGTCTACACATCGCACCAGGTACTCATTTGAGACCGAGTCGACCTCGGGGAGGCCCAGGACTGGTGCCGATAATCGCCATTGGTGTTGGCCGTGAGTGGAAATCAAATTCAGGTCGCTGGGTTCGAAGCGCAGCGTAGCGCTAACCACTACACTACCCCGCACTCACACTCACTCGCTCACCCACCCATTCACTCTCTCCACAAGCCACACGCCACACGTTCCACTGAAATATCAAACTGAGATTACGTACAATTGCCATCAATATCATCACGAGACAGGTTATATAGCCTACTGGCAGAGTGCACTCACTCATGCAGCTGGCACAGATGACAGTTCTCACTGCTGAATGGGAACCTATATGGAAAATCAACAAAGTGTGCGATCTGATAGAACAAATAATATTTGAGGCCCCATGGCATGATTCCTCCGAGTTGGTTATTGTGTATTCCTGTCACAGCCCGAGTTAGAGGTGATGAAAATGAGCCACGATTTTGCAGAAACAAAAAACTTAAGAGCTTGGCCGAAATAAATACAATAAAAAAGGATTTTCCTCGAAAAAATAAACAAATCAAGGATCTTAATTTGACCAAACACCAAGCAAAGCCATCAAAGTACTTTACATCTTAAAATGAAAGGGTTACAGTAACTTAAAGCTGTCGTGACTGCAGGAATTCAAATTATTGGGTATTTCGTTAGTCACGTAGATAGGTTCAAAGAAAATAACAAAAAACGACAACGTTTCGATCGCAACACAAACAGTCGTCTTCAGGAAAAGGGGCGTTTAGCTTCCAAGGCAAACTGTTTATAAGGGTTTGAAATGGGCATAGCCCAAATGTCAGCAGCCAATGATAATGCAGGCGGTGGGCAGCCAACCCGACGGTGGTTGGTTTTCCACCAATCAAAGGGCTGCCAGGTGAAAATTAGCATGCTAATGAGAAATTAGCATGTTAACGGGAGATCGCAGATCCGCAACGCACGGGTCGGCGCGCGAAGAGGCTGTGTTAGTGTGAATCCTGTGAAAGCGCAAGTTTGAACTGGGCGTAAAGCACAACTAACATCGGAAGGTGGTACACGATGGGAACATCACAGCCAATTATGACTTAAATTGGTTGATAACGTCCTTCCAGTCATTGCTGAGTTTGTACCCATCTTCATGGTTTAAATTGTCTGTATCTATATATATGGATGGTTTCATGAACGAATCTTTGTTGATAGCCAGTGGGCTTGCAAAGTACCTTCGTCTTGAAGAAATCAATTTCGTGTGTGCCCACTGCATTAAAACAATGATCAGCCACAGCTGAGGTATTGGTCCTACCGTGTTTCAGATCTGCCTTATGTTCACGAACACGGTCCGAGACATGTCGCTTAGTTTCCCCAATGTAACTACTGCCGCAGACACAGCTTAGTTTGTAGACGCCGGGGTATGTGTCTGCGGCAGTGACTTTACCGAAAGACCCAAAGAGTATGAAGACAAAGAAATATTACAATAACGTTTCACAGTGATGTCATTCAACTCTTCATGATAGGATTCAGAACTGTCGAAAGCATTCCACGCCCGTTTTGGGCTTTCCCAGTCGTTATCAACGTGGTCACGGTGCCTCCCGAGGAGCTTTGTCCTCCACACCGCCATCGTGAGTGACAGAAATCCGTGTCGTGTATTTAACGTTTGCGTTGTTCATGACGGGTATCCAGTGCAAGCGGGCGCCGCACATGTGGCAGTCAGCCCGCAACAGATGCCGGCGAACACCGAGACGACAGCCCTTTGAGGTCGAAAACCCAGAGGCATTTCAAACAATGCATCTTAATTGCCCATTTAAGATGTTGTCAAGCCGCATACAGAGCAGGGGGATTTCATGTAACACGATTTGTTGTTGCTGTTGATTCTTTTCAAGCAGTCAGAATGCAAGCGCCACACTGCCACTGGATTAACGCAGGCACACGCAAGCGCAGCGGACAATCCTTCCTGTTTAATTGACAACGCGGGTTCACATCCAAGTGACTCGCACGCCCAATGGCATTGGTGGCAGCGGCGACGGCAGCACTCGGCGTTCGCCACGAAGTGGCGGTGGATGCTGTCGCGGTGCTAGCGCCAGGCAAGGTGAATTATCGAGCCCTGCGATTCGGGAGGCAAGAAGCTCGCCAAGACTGAGATCGCAGAGGGCCAGGCCAGAGGCGGGTGCCGTGGGTTTTTTCAGGTGATGCGAGAGACCAGCAAATGTGTTAATTTGAGCGTTCTATTGTCGTCATAACAAAAACTGGAAAGTGTCACAAAACTCTATAGACTGAAATAAACAAGGAGGAATGAATAAGGGCGTTGAGAATGGAATATAAAAATTATACACATGCCACTTTATTTGTAGCCGTCCGAATTAAATAATTTTGCGATGGTACATTAGTTTCTAAAGCGCCCCGCTCTAAAATATATTTGAAAGATAAATTAACCGTACTATAAATATTTATTATGAATAACAATGATAAAAGAGAAAAGCTTCAACAATAAAATCTGACCGTAATGTCATCTGCCGATTTCATAAATGATCAATCGATTAACTTGGGAACGTATATAGCTGCACCGTGGTTTTTTTCTGCAAATATTTTGGTCAAGATTGAACAAGTTGTTGCGAATCACGCTCTAAAGGTTGACATAAAAGCAGTGTTTTGTTTCGTGCACTGCACCGGCAGCGGCCTCCATTCGGTGCTCGGCTCAAAATAGAAAATGTCAGCAAATAGAAAGCAGGTTTCCCTACGAGGCTGACATTTAAAATCTACATCATGAAAATTCTTCATTTCTACGCTGTGATGCGGCCAGTTGTTATTTTTATTTTTCAAATATCGCAAAATGTTTTTTTCTATTTGCATAGGTGACCTTTGCGGCAAATAGAATGATATAGGTTTTTTTTCAGTATTAAAAAAAGTTGACAACTGTTACAATTATCTTGAGGATATGAATGCCAATTTTTTTCCCGAACATTTAAAATACCAACTTTGTTCTTGACGGTTTGACAGAAAGATGTAAAAAAAAACACACACCCATTATAGAAGTGTAAGATCGCTGAAAGTAATTTCACAAAAACATTCCAGAGAAAGATACTTTTTCAGTTACGGCACTGTCAAACGATGACGAGACACAGTGACAAAGTGCCTCTTTGCAGAGCATGACCAAGGCCGTCTGGTGGTGCCGGGTTGAAACGGCCGGTTGCAGTAACACCACCAAGCGGGTCAATGGCTGTCACCTTTCAGGTGGGTGAGCAGTGACTGCCTTCACGCGGTCCACTATTAAGTGACTCTAAACTCCAAAGCGAACTCACGTCGTCACGTCGGCCGAACAGCAAATTCGTTGCAATATTTCAGATCTGTTCCGAAAAGCGATGCTCTGCCGACAGTTTCCCAAATGAACATCTACAACTTCCACCACGTGCACTACGAACACTGCTTATAACCTAAAATATATTGCAGAAGAAAAAATTAATAATTCTCAATGTTACATTTTTAAAGATGGCCATTTTCGTGGCTCTGCTCTGAACATTCCCTCTACCCCACCCTCACTCACCCCCCCGCCCCTTGCGATGAGACAGCCAGGTCTGGTACCCAAGCACGGCTGGGAGGAATCGGGCTGCTGCAGCGCCAGGCCTGGAGGGGTGGAGCGCTCGCCATCAATCAGCCCGGCGGCAGATGCCATCACGGAGGCACTGGCAACAAAAAAAATCGGTCTGCTCCGTCCACAAATTGCGCCTCTCTCATGGCGCCTGCTTTTACGACTCCGCGCGGAAATGGGAACATCGCGATGATTGAAAGCGAGTTCCAAGCGCAGAACCCGGAGGTTCAACCCCATCTGCTATTCTCCAGGGAGCCAAAGCACAGCACACAGCATGTCTCTCTTACTTGTACAACTTTGCACCTATTACAGCTATACAGCCCACAAGCAGAGCCTTGCGTCCCGGGAAAACCATGAGACAATTCCCCGCGGCGGTACGGTGTTGGAGAAATATGGTGGATGCAAACTTAAAAAAAGGAAAAAAAATGTCTCCATATCAACACAACGATTGTACGTGTGATTTTACCATCTCCCAATCAAATTTCACTTTAAAGATCAAATGACCAATCAGTATTTACGATCTATTAATACGGTCAAACTAGATCAGTTAATCCAAGGTGCATTTTGTTTTAATTGAGCAACAGCTGCCACCACTCGTATGCATGTAGCCTTGGGACCAGGTTGAATGTGCAGATGGACGCACGCCATCACCTCACAAACACCGCAGGGTACAGCAAAACTCGCAAATTCCTGTCCTCTGCTCCGGAGTGTGCGAGCGATAAGTTCGACTACAGTGCACGTGTTCACGAAAATCTCTAAGTTTACTTTACGTCAAATAACAACTGTCGTACAAGCGCTTTGTTTTGCACACGCATATGACCGAGACAGCTTTTGCATACCTATAGCATTGTTCATACTGCTCGTTCTGCGCACGTGTAGTTGGTAAAACATTCTCATTGCATTATGTCCATGAGGCTCTGCTTGCAGTAAAGTGGAAAGGTGAAGACAGAGAGAGAGAGAGAGATTTCATGCTGATATGTATCCTCGACATTGGAGCCAAACCTTCGCATTGTTTCAACGCAACTCAATCAACAGAGAATTAGTTGAATGAACGGAGATTGCTGGGATTAAGATGCTCATAAGGGTGGTGGTGCGCAAGAGTGAGACATTTAAGAAAGGCGCAAATAAATGTTACATACACAACAATTACAATTCCCATGTAAATCTG